CGCTACTACTAGAAAGCTCCATTGATTAAGGTTTCGTCTGAGATAACATTCATATTGCTTCATGAAGAAGTTCCTTATTACAATTTTTTTTAATTTGAAATTTTTATACTAAAAAGCTGATTCATAAAACAGTAAGAAAGCTATCCCAAATGAAGCTTAAAACTGGTGCTATATAACTGCAATTAGGGGTGTCAAAACCGGGTTGTGGATTAGGTTCGGGTTGAACCCATAACTGACCCGGGTTTAAACGTGTCAACCCTAATCCGACTTGGTTATATAAACGGTTCAGAAATCAAGACCCGTACCGACCTGTTGGGTTGCTGGGTTGACCCGACCCAACAAGTTTGACGGCGGGACGGCGGGCGGGCGGAGAGGAGTGTCTGTTGCGAGTGGCGTGCGCGAGTGGGCCTGAGCAGGTGTTGGCGCCCCCGGGCGGTAGCGGTAGCCACGGGCGCGCGCGGGTGGGAGTGGGTAGCCGAGGGCAGCTTCGGGAGAGCGCGGGAGTGGGCTAGGGCAGCCATTGACAGCTTCGGGCGCGGTGCAGGCAGCTCGGGTGGGCACGCAGGTAGGTGCGGGCAACGTGATCAGCACATTTCAAACAGGTTTTCGGGTTGACCCGACAATTCAACGGGTCAACCCGAACCTGACCCATTTTTAAATCAGGTCGAGTGTAACCAGAAATTTTTGGGTCGGATTCAAATCAGATTTTTGTGTTGCATGGGTCAAATATTGACACCCCTACCTGCAATTGTTAAAGTTACTTTATTTCAAAGTACTATGATATTGCTACTAGATATATTACAGATCGTCTATCAAATCATTTTCCGACAAATGATATTTACAAAAAAAAATTTATATCAATTTTAAAACTACTAAAACTTTTTAAACAGTTAAAAATTCTACTAAAGCCCTCCAAAATAATTGGAAAAATCATTTTGTTATTATTATGATATATCTAACAATAATTCCTAAAACATGAAAAATTATTACGTGCGGAGTCCGAACGTAAAACTATGTCCAAACTCCAATCAAATGACGACACGTTGCTAATTAATACATATTGTATATTAACTTTTTGTCAATACTATTGTATTTTAATTGTGTATTAGTGTGTATTAGTTGTGTTTTGGTGTGTACTAGCTATGTATTATGTGCGGAGTCCAAACGTAAAGCTATGTCCAAACTCTAATCAAATGACTACATGTTGCTAATACATATTGTATATTAACCTTTTGGTAATACTATTGTAAATTAACTGTGTATTGGTGTGTACTAGTTGTGTATTATAGTACACGTACACTAATGTGTACTAGTCAATACATAGCTAATTAGTCATGTATCGTTATTTGATTGGAATCAGAATGTAGCAGTATGTCCAAACTTCGCTCATAATAATTTCTCCTAAAACACAATTTGCTAAGAAACTTCCTATCAAGTGCTCAAGGAAACTTTATTCTTGATGTCCATACAACACCCAAACTCTATCTGATTTGAACCATTGATATGAAATACGTCACATTAATAATTCTCACAAAGCTTACCTGCTAAGTCCACAATAGTCATTGTATATATCTTGTTGCTTCGCCTCTATAACCTAGTTAAATAGCCATAGATTGTTCCCTGCATGACAAGTACTGCTCATCTCAGGTACTTTATGTCATATTTTTACCCCAAACTTGATGTATATCATATGCAATGCACATTATACTCTGTTGAAGCCTCTCTCTCTCTCTCTCTCCTTCCCTCCCTCTCTCTCTCTCTCTCTCTCTCTCTCTCTCTCTCTCTCTCTCTCTCTCTCTCTCTCTCTATGCATGCATTTGTCATATAAAATGAAGGCAGCATGAGCTGCAAGCCATTCAATGATCTGTAGCTATTAGGGGACATAAATAAGATAGCAGTTGTATCAGTATTTACAGTTTAGTTTTTGGCAGCATTCTCCTGCAAAATCTGACCCCAACATAAACAGCAGAAGAAGCACAACACCTCACAGCTTTACATTTAACTGCCACTTTGTTAACCATGCAAAGCTTTAAAGCTCTTAGGTGTAAAGAAAAAAAATCCTACTTTTCTACTGTTGTCATAAATTGTGAGGCCAAAATTCTTTTGAAGTCCACTTTATTATATGCTATTTACATATCTAACGTTAGAATAAATATGGATACATGGAATGAAATATTAAAATTTATAAGGTGGTATAAGTGATAGGAATGATATATAGAAGTGATATATTTGATACTAAAGTTGTATATGGGTGATAGACATATAATATTAATATTTTGGGTGTTAGATATGTAAATAGCATGGAATAAAGTGGTATTTAAGTAAATCCCCCAAAATTTTAATGTGATTAAAACATACTTAAAAGAATTTTAAAGAAAATTTTGTAACTTATGAAAATAATGATTTTATTTTAACTCATTTTATATGTTAATTTAAAATCATTATATTTGAGCTTAAAATAGCTTTGTAGAGCTTAAAAATGGTAATTAATTTCTAATTACATCCCAATAATGATTACATTTAAAAAAATTTCATCATTTTCATTTTTACAATACATGTTCCTTAATTTTAAGACATTAAACCAATCCTAACACAATAATTAATTATAAATGCACTATTAATAAAAAAAAAATTACTATTATAACATAGTAATGCACATAGAACAAATATAATTGAACTCCATGAATAGAAATCATATAAAATATGTGCGCAAAATAGATGAATGCCTCAAAGAACTGGACAGGCCTACTGTTCAGTTCTTCCTTGAATCAAAATGGGAATCATAAGAATTCCCATTGCTTCCAAAAGAAAAAGTCTCTTACACTCTATAACTGATGCCCCCATATATACAGCATGTGGCTACCTAATAGTCATTAGCAGCAAAAATATTTTCCCAATATAATGAGGCTCTGACAAATTAATTAATTGGCTTGTGAATAGTAATAAATGCTTCTTTCAATTGCCACTATGCCTTTCAATATGTTGTGGCCCATCAACATGATAAAAATATATTTTCTTTGCTTGTAGCTCATCTTTGTTTGGGCTTCTTACATTTATTTTTTAGCCAATTTAACAAAAGAAAAGTAGTTTTTGTAAGATTAATTAAGACTTTGTTTGAGATAATTTTATTACTGGTTTATGAAGCAGTTTTCTAATACAAAAATTTCAAATTCAATTTTTTTTTTTAACTAAGAAATTGTTTCATAAAGCAATAAGAAAGCTATACCAAACAAAGTCTAATATAATTGTTGAAGATTTAGTATATTTGTTTTCACCCATGCAATATTCCTTTGCTTGTGAAAAACTAAATAAATAAATAAATAATACCTTCATGAAGGTTTATATACAACCCTAATATATTATTAATAGACTTAAAACTAAGGCTTCAGACAGCTTTCCCATTGCTTCTAAAACAGCTTTTTAGTACAAAAAAATCTAATTCAAAAAAAAAAAAAAAAAAAAAAAAAAAAATTATTTTTTCAAACTTCTCCTGATTAAAACATACTTAAAAGAATTTTAAAGAAAATTTTGTAACTTATGAAAATAATGATTTTATTTTAACTCATTTTATATGTTAATTTAAAATCATTATATTTGAGCTTAAAATAGCTTTGTAGAGCTTAAAAATGGTAATTAATTTCTAATTACATCCCAAATAATGATTACATTTTTAAAAAAAATCATCATTATCATTTTTACAATACTATTATAACATAGTAATGCACATAGAACAAATATAATTGAACTCCATGAATAGAAATCATATAAAATATGTGCGCAAAATAGATGAATGCCTCAAAGAACTGGACAGGCCTACTGTTCAGTTCTTCCTTGAATCAAAATGGGAATCATAAGAATTCCCATTGCTTCCAAAAGAAAAAGTCTCTTACACTCTATAATTGATGCCCCCATATATACAGCATGTGGCTACCTAATAGTCATTAGCAGCAAAAATATTTTCCCAATATATTGAGGCTCTGACAAATTAATTAATTGGCTTGTGAATAGTAATAAATGCTTCTTTCAATTGCCACTATGACTTTCAATATGTTGTGGCCCATCAACATGATAAAAATATATTTTCTTTGCTTGTAGCTCATCTTTGTTTGGGCTTCTTACATTTATTTTTTAGGCAATTTAACAAAAGAAAAGTAGTTTTTGTAAGATTAATTAAGACTTTGTTTGAGATAATTTTATTACTGGTTTATGAAGCAGTTTTCTAATACAAAAATTTCAAATTCAAAAATTTTAAACTAATAAACTGTTTCATAAAGTAATAAGAAAGCTATCCCAAACAAAGTCTAATATAATTGTTGAAGATTTAGTACATTTGTTTTCACCCATGCAATATTCCTATGCTTGTGAAAAAACTGAATAAATAAATAAAAACTACCTTCATGAAGGTTTATATACAACCCTAATATATTATTAATAGACTTAAAATTAAGGCTTGGTTTGGGACAACTTTTCCATTGCTTTCTAAAACAACTTTTTAGTACAAAAAATTCTAATTCAAGAAAAAAATTAACTAAAATAATGTTTTAGAAAGCATTAAGAAAGCTTTCTCAAACGAACTCAAAGTGTTATATATCTATTTTATATTTCTAAAATATGAATATCATATTCATGACTTAGCAAATGTAACTTAAATAAGTTCTCTTGCTCGTTTTCGAATAAAAAATTATAAGTAATTTTATGTCCATTTTATCTTAAATAAAATATATGAGATATTATTTTATTTTGAAAAAATTATAAATCTAATTGATATGTTAGACTAGTTATATATTTTATCCTTAAACTTCTTAACAAGTCATTATAATATTAAAAATGTATATTAATTTAATAGCACAACTCATGTATGTTATTTGACATAAACATACTAAACCTTTCAAGTTATAAATGAACATATATGATCATATACAGCTCATCCTAATCCATTAGCTGAGAGCTTTGACTACCAACATAAGATATCTTGAATTCATTTACTTACACACTACTCAGAGATAAATTTGATAATTATGTGAGAATATAGTCAATCATTTGTCTATTTAACAATCATCTCTAATATCTTGTCACTTTACCAAATGTAATGATTGAGATGCCATACCATTCAGAAAAAAATACAGTAAATGCAGTTCTCCAATCAACAGAAAAGAGGGCAAGCTCTTGTGCTACATGTATAAATTAAAGCTTACTTTAGCCCTTTTTGCACGATCATGTGTCTGTACAACCAATTAGAAGTCAAGAAATAGGCTATATGAAAAATAAAAATCTAAACTTTATGTAAAAAAAGTGTACATAAGAAAGACATGATCATTTTGCCTATTTTTAAATATTTTATAGTTGTAAAGAAAATGCAAAAAATTCTAATTTTCAAGAATTGGATGAATTAAGACTGATAAAACAAATAATAAGGAATAATTCACTTAGATTAACAAAAGGAGAAAAAAAAAAGAATAATTGGAGGTAGGCAAACATGCAAAAACTTAACAAAGATAGAGCAATGCATGGATTTACAATATGAAACAATGTATTAAATCTTGGCAATTATTAATTTGTTAGCCAAAGTCATCTAGAGGTGAAGATCAAGACTCACATTTTCCTTGCCTCCTTCTATAGGCTCACAAACCAAGCGATTTTGTGGAGATATAGAAGAAATGGTGGAAGAAGAAGAGTCTCCATCTCCAACTCTCCTTAACCCATCTCCTCCAAAAAATGGAAGTATAGGCCTAATTCCAGCCTGCACTGGAGTTCGAGCTCTCCATAGTGGGGGTAGAGGACTACCGTGAATAGGTGGCGGCGGAGGTTGCGTCGACCAGGAGGAATGGTTGGAGTGGTAGCTAGTGGAGAGGAGGGAGAACCGAGATGTTGAAAATGGGCCTAGGTGATGGTAGATATGGTGGCGGTCAATGGGGGAAGAACGGTGGTGAGCAGCTGCCATGGCGGATTGTAGTTGAGCGCGTTTGGCGTGTTGGCGCTCACGTTTGTGAGCGTTTTGATGGCCTCCGAGAGCTTGCGAAGTGGGGAAGCTTCGACCGCAATAGTGGCATTCGAACTTTCGGCTAGTGTCATGAGAGGTAGTGGTGGTGGCGATAGTGGTGGGCTCATGGGGTACGTCGATGCCGAAGAGTCGGATGGCAGCAGCGGTGGCCGAAGTGGAGGACGATGGTTTGTCTTTGGTTTGGGTGGGACGGATGAAAGGGAGTTGTGAGAAGGAGCTTACATTCATGAAGTCATGTGTTTCTTTTTGACTCATCTTTGTGTTGAGGGGGGAGAGAGAGAGAGAGAGAGAGAGAGAGAGAGAGAGAGAGGTGCTTTCCTTGACTTGTAGCTGAACTTCAGAATTATATGCAAGGAATGGAAGGTTTTGATGTTAAGAGACTTTTCCTCTTTGGTTGTCTCCCCAATTTGGGCTTTTTTTTATGAGCTTGCTTTCTCTCCTAGACATATAAAATCTCTTTGTAGGGTTTCTATATATTGGATCTATATCAAATAGGGTTCGAAGAAGAAGAAGAGAAGAGGGAGAGGGTTAAGAAGAGGAGATCGAGGTTTAATTTCTTCTTTTGTCGGTCTCTCTATCTTTCTTCTCCCAAGTTTTGAAGAAGAAAAACTGAGGAGTAACAATGGTGTTTGGCTCAGGAGGGAGGTGTTTTTGGCTTTCTATAGGTAGTTTTAATTCTTAGAGTGTTAGCTTTGTATGGGAGGATGAAGACTGTTGTCCACATATATGTATGGGACCATTTTTATTCTCTTTTTTGTCTCTTTAATTTTATCTTTAACAATTATTTTTGAAGTATTGTTGCAGTACCCTTAAATAAATTTACAGAAAATTATGTGGGGGCATATTCTTATGTGGCTCAATTGAAATGTGAAGAGTGTTATATACTTTTGTTTGTGAAAGATTTTTATTGATCTCTTTAATTAAGTAATGATGTGACTTGAACTTGAGTTTTCAATAATTTTTTTTTTTTATCATCCCTCTTCTTTTTAGAGCTAATTAAGGCATCCTTTTGGACGACTTTTTTACGGTTTCTTAAAGCACATTTATAGTGCAAAAATTTTAATTTTTGTACTAAAAAACTGATTTAAGAAGCATTAAGAAAGTCGTTCCAAAAGACTATAAATAGAATTAAAGTTATGTGAGTATAATATTTTAACTTTACAAAATTGATATTCTTAATAAATGTCTTAAATTTATTCATCTATGTGCCTCACATCAATAATTTCAGAAAATCAAAATTTTCAACTTGGAGTTCTAATATGTTTGATATTTGGGTGATTGTTTGATATATAAATAAAAATAATAATAATATCAGTTTTCTAAATAGCTAAACTTTCATAAAATCACCAATTTTTAACCTAAAAAAAAATTTCAATATGTATTAAAATATTTGATTCCTAAAATGCCTAATTTTTATTGAAATTAAAGCTGGTTTCATCATCATTTTTGTTAGGAAAATATTCATAAAATTCCTACGAGCAACTCTCCTTATACTATAGTTGTCCTATAGTGGGGCCTTTTGTTTGACAAAGAGATATAAAAGTTAGGGATGAACAAATTTAGATGGGAAATGATGGTGCTTCTAGTTGTAGCAGTGGTACTTGGTTGCTATTAAGAAACCAAAAGCTACTATCAGCAGCAGCAAAAGCACTTGTCAGCCAACTCTCTTTCTCTTTCTATTACTATTTTCTTTCCTCCATCCCTCTCTTTCTCTAGCTTTCATGCAAGTGTTACTATCAGTTAAGAGAGGAGCTAGAAATGCCTGTAGCCCAACCATGCTGGTCTCTTACTGTGATACTTGATGAATAATGAATTTGTACTGAGTAACTGTAAGGCTCTTAATGGCCGCTGGCTTCTTTAGATCTGGAGCTGTGAAGGCCTTGTGTTAGTGTGGTTCAAGTGGTCCTTGAAGTAGAGCCTGTAGTGCTTGTCATAGGGGACCTTCCTCTCTTTTGTTTTTTAACCTTCCCCTTTCTCCAACGGTAAAAGTAAATTAAATTACACCATGCAGATATACATATATATATATATATAAACTTATAGTTTTATATATTAAACTTAGTGAATCTAAATAAATTAAAATTAAGATCTATTTTATTCAGTATAATAAAATTATGTATTTAGAACTTAATTAATCATACTTAACACAATTTGACAAATTTGATGAATTGTATGCACCATTTAAAATCAACTAAATTTGTGCCAACATAAATGTAATTTAAATCAGTTTCTCTACTAAGTTTGATGGATGTTGTGAAGGATTTTTTCAGTGGGTTTCCTTTTTCTATACGTATTTATCTTCTTCGAGCATTGTCTTGATTCCTAAAAGCAAGGGTGCTATAATCATTGGGCCGATTTAAAGCCGATTAGCCTTTGTTTTCTTTTTAACAAATTAATTTCTAAGGTCCTTTTGGGGAGATTGGCCTTGTGGCTTCCTAGACTTATTTCTCCTGACCAAACTGAATTTGTGAAAGGTTTCATTTCTTATTCTATTTAATTTAGTCAGGCAGGTGCTTCATAACCTGCTACATATTGATGTTATTTTATTAAAAAAAGATTTTAATATCCCCTCAAGATGTAAATGTCGTTACAATAAACCATATTTTTTTTTGTGAATGGTACCATTGCTATTAAGTTTGGAGATATTTCTATGATGTGCTCAACAACGATAACTTAGTTGTAATAGTGATGTTAGCTCTATTTTACTTTCTTGATTTTTCTCAATCAAAGATCATATTAGAAATCTGATTCCTATCCTTATAGTGTGGTACCTTTGGATGGAGAGAAATGATTCTAAGCATAAAAAAATTTAGATGAATTTTTGGTGTATAATTTTGCAAAGTGAAAGACAAAATTCTGTAACTTTTTTATGTTAATCTTATCAATGTCAGCAATTTTCATAATTGTAGTTTTGTTGCTCATTATTTTGCTATTGAACTTGGCCTTCATGTAAATGAGAAATTAGAAAGAAATGTAAGGTGGACTCGATTAAGCCTTCCTTCCCTTACTGTAAAATGAATACATATGGTTATGTTAATTCCCTAAGCGCGGCTGGTGGTGGGATTATCAAAGATCACTTAGGCAATGTTATTTCGGCTTTTGTAGGTCCCTTCATCCATTGTAATGTTATTATTGCTGAGCATAATGCTTTGCCTATGACAATATGTGCTATTCTTTAGTTATTTATGATGTTTGGTTGGAGGTGGATGCAATGTTGTTACTTCATATTATTAATGGTTCTAATGTTAGTGACCCTGAGAATTTTTACATCATCCCAAAGATCAAATGGTCCATGAATAAGTTTAATTATTCTCCGACCCATGTCTATCATGAGGCAAACTCTTGTACTAACCGGCTTGCAAAATATGGTTGTCAGTTAGACTCTTTCTAGGTGCTATCTGAGTTGGATTTATCTCGATCGAATTCTGAGAGGAATTATTCGTTTGGACAAAGCATGTTTATCTTATATAAGAATTAGGTATGGGATGTTGTTTGTGCTGCTGTTTTGGTTTGTTGTGTTTTCATTTATTTTGGGTGTTATGTTTGTTGTGCTATCTGTTATTTTTGAGTGAGTGTTTGAGTTTTCTTGCGGATAGTTGTTTTTTTGTTGTTTCTTCTATTTGTTGCTTTTGGCTGGTGTGGATTTCACCTGATGCTGGTCGACAGCTAGCAAACTTTCGTTTTATTGTTTGGGTCTTATGGTCTGTGAGTTTTTTCCTTCTCTCAAATTATGTGGGTTGTGTCATGTTCTTTCTTTGGTTTTGGGTGGCTACCTTTGTGATAACCTTTGGGGTTGCTTATCTCTTGAGGATTTGGATGATTGTTGCTACCTTACTTATGTCATTGTTCTACTCTTATGGCCGGATTGTTTTGGAGTGGTTTCCTTCCCATATATTATGTGATAGTCTTAAGCAGCTAGATTGTCAACACTTTTTGGTTGCCTATGTTATGGTTGTTCAGTTGTAATATCCCCCTTGATCAACTAGCTAATGTGGACGTCCTTGCATGTTGTCCATGCCATTTATCTCATCCATTGACATGCATCCTTCATTTATATTATAACAATTTCTTACTATATCACTCTATTTTCAAAAGTTTTGGTGCAACAATTTTTTTTTGCAAAATGATGATTTATACCTAGATCTTAAAGACCATCAAAGCCCTGGCTTATTTTTTGGGTATGTCTACTTTCCTAACATTTTACTTTGTTCTACTCTTCTGCTTCTAAGTTTTATTTTGCTTTTTTTTATTGTAGCTCTTTGAATGAGTAGTAAGCATGGAATCCATCTAAAGACCTGCACTTGTTGGATATTAACACGTAGGTCCCTCCGATAATTTTAACCCAAAAAATAATATTAAAGAATATTTATTAAATTATAATTATGCCGAATTTCTCTAATTACATAATTTATGACATGATTAAGCAAATAAAATAAATTTAACATATAATAAAAAATAATCAATTGAACTTGTTAAAACTTAAAGGAGATCGATATCATAATGATTAAATTAATTTCACACAAATAAAATAGAACAATTCAAATAAATAGAAATGAAACTTGAATTTATTCTGAAAAAAATATGAAATAATTTTTTTTGTCAAATCATATATATATATATATATATATATATATATAATAATTCATGTTAGTTATATATATAATTTGAGAACTTCGATAAATCTATATTCAGTTTATAACAAAGAACGTCTAAGATGCACACTAAAGTTCAATTGAAATAATTTTCTTATTATTTTCTAAAGCAGTTACTCACTACAAAAATTTATTAAAAAAAGCTAAAAAAGAGCTGCCAAAAGCTGCCCTAAATGAAGCCTAAGTTATACCAAAGCCTTGGAGCTCTTGATTCTTCGTATCCACGAACTTGAGCTCTTCTCCAAGTGATCAACCAATTCTCCAAGTTGCTAATTGAAATTGATCTTCATCTTCATGGTTACTAGCTAATATAAATTTATGATAAAAGACTTAAACAATTTATTAAAGGGAGATTTACATACATACCACTCTATACTACTATATTTACATACTTAACATCTAAAACTTTAATATAACATACATACCACCTATAATTTATTTTCATATCAAATATAAGTGGTAGAAATGAAATATATGAGTGATATGAAGGAAATATGAGTGGTATATTTGATATTAAAATAATATAATTAGTGTTTATTAAATAATTAACACCACATAAAATTATAATAATCAAATTAATAGTGAGCCCCATATAAGTCATATGGGCTTACAAGGTTAATATAGTTCACTTATGTCGTGTTCTACCTATAATATTGACATGTGCGCAAATATTTTAAATGTAATCTATTATATCATTCTAAATACGTCAAAGATATGGTTCTTCCATCACCTATCCTCCAAAGGATGAAATTAAGAGTTGATTGCGGAGATATCCTTCTTTCTGACCTTAATATTGTAATCTCTTCCTAAGTGTACAAGTAATTAATGCTCTCTCTCTCTCCCTCTCTCTCTCTCTCTCTCTCTCTTTCTTCCTCTCTCTCTCTCCTTGGTGAGAACTCATTCTCTCTCTCTCTCTCTCTCTCTCTCTCTCTTCCTCTCTCTCTCCTTGGTGAGAACTCATTCTCTCTCTCTCTCTCTCTCTTCCTCTCTCTCTCCTTGGTGAGAACTCATTCTCTCTCTCTCTTTCTCTCTCTCTCCTTGGTGAGAACTC